CCTCATCCATTACCCCTCCTCCCTTTTTCTTTTCACCCAGGCGATACCCCTGAGTAGTCCTGGTCTTCCGCCCCTTTCATTAAAAATAAAAAAATAAAATCTCGGGAATGGTGGCAAACGTTTTTCCTTTGAGCGCGTTTTTTTAGTTTGTTGGAGAACAGGAAAAAGTCGCACAGGACCATGTCAGGTGAGTAGGGTGGTGGAGAAGCACAGCGTTCTTGTTTTTGGCCAAAAACTCATGTGTTCTGAGGGACAAATGAGCCGGCGCGTTGTCACGGTGAAAAACCACTCGCCGCTTCTCCAAAGTTTGGGCCGTTTTCGCCTGATTTCGTTTCTTAGGCGATTCATAACACCAGGTACTCCGTGTTGACTGTCTGGCCTGTAGGTAGGTATTCGTGATGCACAACCTCTTTGCATCGAAAAAAAAAAAACAGTCAACATCACCGTAAAATTTGAGCGAACTTGTCGAGCTTTTTGAGGAGGGGGGCTGTTTCACCCATTCGTGGGAAGTTTCCGTGAAGGATTTTCCGAGTTTCACACAGAATTTCACAGAACAACGCTGTTCTTTCAAAAAGCTGATTTCCGATTTATCGCCGAATCCCAAAAACACCACTTCACATAAACGGCTGTAACTAATCACCAAAACAAGATATCAACAAACGAGTTGAAGGAGGTTACTCGGAAGGTTTCCGCGGAAACAACGCCTCCAAGCGAATTAAAAAATAACCAACTGGAGGCGTGCTATTTAAAAAGTTCAGGCACTTTTTGAACAACCCACATACATTTATTTTAGATTTTAGAATTCACAATAACCATATAAAAAGCAATATGTTTTTGTTTATTTGTTTATTATGTACTGTTGTCCAACAGAAAAGTAAACTATCTTATTTACAAATCTTTTCAAAATAGACAGTTTGACCGGGCCCTCCTAAAAACCGGGCCCTAGACATCTGTCTCATTTGTCTATGCGATGATCCGACCCTGGTTAAACTCACCTCTTCAAAAACCAAAAATGGGAACATGGTGTGTTCAATCTGTATATTGATGTCAACAAATGTAAATTAGGTGAATTGTTCTGATCTATCTAACTCATTATTAGAATGGTATAAGATTAATCGCTTTAGTTTCCAGAAATTTTTGATATTAATGCAATTAAACATAAAAAATACTTAAACTGAAAAAAGGAAAGAAATGCGTTAATTTTGAAGAAAAAGCTTCAAACTTTATTTTCCGTTTTCTCGCTTTTTTGCGAAATTTGACACTGATGAGTCATTGTTTACACAGCTGGATGACCTTGAGAACATCTGGTGTTGGATTTCCGGGGACATTCTCATAGACGTCTCGAGAGGACAAAGGTTTAAAGTAGGGTGAATACTAGCTGCCTGTATATTTTTAAATATTTTTAAAAAATTCAAATTTTTATTGCGATTTCCAACCCACCCGACTTAATTAAACGTATATATAATAAAATCTAGTAATTAAAAAAATTAAAAAACTATTGGAGATTGTTTTTGATATCAGAAAGTAGCTTTAATTAAATAACTATACCAAATTAAAATCCGTGCTTTATAACTTTAGAATGATTAATGTAATTTGATATCAAACGCCCATTAAAAAACAATTAATTGTTAATCATGCGTCACTAAAGGTAAATTAAAGTCGCGATAAAATTTTTTCGCGCAAGTAAAAATTTTTGAAAAAATTTGTAGACTTAAAAAACATTCCAAAAATCCAAAAAAATGGGGGGCCTAAAGGACCGAGTTTTCTGTAACGCTATGTAACCTGCCCGAGTTAATATCTTACACTCTTTGATTCACTAACACAAGGTGTGTTTCTATTTCAACACTTGGCGGTATTCCATCTTACATCTTGGTGGTATTGTTACACTCTGTCAAGAGATAAAAAAACTCCAAAATGCATTAAAGTACATTTTTGGAGTTTATCTCTACAGTAAAATCAAATAAACTGTCATGAATTGCCTATAGTGTATTCTATGTCCAATACATTACAAAGTATATTTTAAAATATTAAATCTAGATTTTAATGATTACGTTTAATTATAAATTATTTTTTTATAATTTTGATAATTTTCAAAGAATAATTGTCAAGATTTAATAATAAGCCAATGATTATCTATTAGAGTATATAAGTTAAAGTAAATATTTTCAAAATATACTCACGATAAAACAAGTTATATGCATTTTCACAAATCTTGGAGTAAAGCAGATCACATGCTTCCATGAGAGACCTTTCATATCGATTATCACTGAAAGTCCGTTTACTTGAAGGCGATGATCATTCAAATAGTAATCCAAGTGCAGCAATATGCATTTGCCTAAATCTATCGCAGGAATCTTTGTTGTGTCCCAATAGCCTATAAATCAAACAATAAATGCATTTTTAGCGACTTTTCGAATTAAATTTTGATAATATTTCATAAAAAAGTTCAATTTCAGTAAACCATAATGTGGTCTTACTTGCTCTACCGAATCCTAGCAGTCTTCCGCTGTCAATAAATACAGTTGACATGATATTTGCTTGTAAAACATGTTCTATTGCCGATGGTCTGTGATTTTTAAATTCAGCTACGCTTCTTCTAACTGAATAATAATTTTTTAGTAATTCCAAAGCACGCTGTTTGTTGTATTTTCTTGATCTTAGAAAACTTAAAAGGAATATATCATCCGTCCTAGAATTCAAGTCTTCTTCCTCTGTAAATAAGAAAAAATATATATATTTTATATCAACTTAATGTATCTAGTGTAGCAGCTTCTCTCTCATCTGGCCCTCTCATATGTGAAGCCCTTTTTATTTGGATCGATCAAAAGTAACCAATACTTTCAGGAATCTTTCATTACACCGAATCTTTCATTTCTAATTGATGTGGCGTTCACGATTTCCCCCTCCCAAAATTTGTTGTTATTGGTTTTATACAAATATATATTAGTATATTAATATATATGAATTTTTATTTTCATTATCTGTATAATTTTAATCACTGTATTTTGATCTTTTAGTTAACAATGTATTCTCATTAATCTGTTGAAAATTTTATTGTATTTTAACTTCTATGTGCATTTTATATCCCTTTTTTATCATGTCTGAAGCAATTGTTAACTATCTTTGGTCTCACATCTCGGAAATTTAATTTTAAAATTTAATGTCTATTTAAAATAAATTAGGGAAACCAATTGGAACTAAAAAATTATCAATTAGTTGTTTTAAATCTCACAACATACGAAGGAAAAGCCGAAGGGGATGATTGACGTTTTTCACTTTCACGATGGTGTTGGGTGACCCATCGACAATATACTATCCATATGATATGGAGGTATATCATTACAAGAGAGAAGGAGGACCACTAAGTGACCAATCGTGCCTTTCACAAATTACTTCAACTTTTCTCGGAACAAGAATATGATTGGTGAAAAACGAACAATAAAATAGAAAGAAGGGACGAAATTAGGAGACTAGACAGACTGGACTGACAGGCTAACTGATTGACCAAACAGCAGACAATCGACTGAATGACTTAACAATAGACAGAAAGTCGGACTTAGAGGATGGAGCAAACCAATCAGAGACAGATCTAGTGAAATACCGAGTGAAAAACCGAGTAAAGAAGAAAGGAGAAGAAAAAGTAAAGCAAACAAAGAGAAAAAGTAAAGAAAGAAGAGGATACAACTCTTTTCCTGGTATGTTGTGATCGCGCAGTTTGAATATATCCTGCTAGGTATAGCACCTCCAACCATTTTATAAATCGGATTTTATAATTTAGTTTTAAAATTTTGTGTTTCGATAATAACCTCTCTTTTTTATTTGTACTTGATTTTGCTTTCATCCACCCGAGAGGCTATTCCAGGACTTCGGTGTGACCTCGAACTTTAACTATTTTTTTTTTTTTTTTGTAAAATACAAAGGTATGTCTGACAAAACACACCTGGTAGCACGGTCCACCCAAAACGTGCATAACTTTATTTTTGACAGATTCCGAACTCCCACAGTGTGTCATTTTTTATTTATTTATTTTTTAATTTAAAATGTTTCGAAGTTATAGAAGATTACAATGCATTAACTTCCTCTAATCATGCAGCATTGAAGTGTTGTAGCAGCTCGTCAGCTCACAGTTAAGGTACTCGATTTTCCAGAAGAATTCCAGAAAAATAAAAAATAAAAATACTTTAATGTAGTACTTTGAAAACAATTTGCAATTTTATTTGTTAAAAATAAACGTCAAATTCAAAATAAATATTTATATATTATACATTAGACATGTACAGTACGTTAACGTTTTATCTAAAAATCTACCATTTCTTAACCGGATTTTCGTAATATCCGAATCTTTTCCGTCATGTATGCTGCGATGTAAAAGACTCTACTGTATTACATGCTTCTGAGTCAACAAGTTTATATATTTTAAGTAAAAAACTAAAAAAAATGTAATTAACTATAGCGTATTATAATTATCATAAACTTTATTTGGTTTTATAATTTAGAATAAACTTGTTTAAGTATAATTATTTTATAATATAATCGAGACGGCTTGATAATAAAAAAAATAATAATAGAGAAGTTGCGGTCGACGTTTTCATCGCGAAAACGTGAACGTCAGTCGCAATGTGTGTAATAAGCGCTGAGCTGAAACAGTTAAGTGTTGGGTAGTTGGAATTTGGTATACAGTTGGGGTTCGTTATGAGTATGTACTATAAGAAGGGATTTTTCGAAATTCTCCCCCGCAAGGGAGAAAGAGAAAATTATGGCTTAACCTGAAACGGATTCTTGCCAGAACATATTTTTAGAACTATATAAAAGTTCTCTAATTAATTCTCAGAAGAGTATGAACGTAATTCTTGCATCTGGTGAAAACTAGTTAAATCGGCTATAAATTAATCTAATAATCTTCGCAATCGTTACTTTCTACCCGAGCAATGCCGATCTCATATCCTAGCGTGCATTATAATTAAACAATCCTATTTATTGATAGATATTGATAATGGTTAAATTTCTGATCAGATATTCGATGTATTTAATACTTGATTTTGCTATCTTTAAAAATTGGGGAGAATATGTGAATACTGCATAGGAATTTCTTATTTTTTATGGATTGTCTGTCCGGAAGCCTACCACACATCATTTGACCAAGCCCATCAAGATATGATCAAATTAACTATCGAAATGTGTAAGGCTTTTGAAAATGTCTTATTTGAAAAAATAGCTATTTTTCAAATAATTATGTAAGTTACACTAAACTAAAGTATACTAAAGCTTTTATTATGTTTACATGTTTCTTTTAAAGTGAATTTTATTTTACTTGTTTTTGATAAAGAGTATAACAAAAGAAAAATATTAGGCCTACTATATTATAACTAAATGCAAACAATACCTTAACACTGGAATAGAAATTCACTAGAAGCTGGGTAATAACTGATTGTAACTTTATTGTATCGAATTCTATTTGTCATACGCTTAAATCTTTATGAATATACTGTTAAAAGTAATTTTTTGAAATACGCTCTTAATGGAATATACAAGTATATTTAGCTTTCACTTGCAGAACGTAATTCTAGAGTTGAAAATAATATAAAAATATTGCATAAATATTTTACAGACTACATTTATGGTATTATAAAGAAAATGACAATAATAACAATAAAAGTAATATAATACTTACTTAGGACTATTTCTCTAAATTCTTCTAGATCTTTTTCGTTCCAAGGATATTGTTTAGCTGCTTTGATGTTCTCAATCTGAACAATATCCATCTCTTTCTTACCAAAATTTATTGTTTTCCTTTAACAGAAAAAAATCTATTAAACTAAATTTTTTTTAAAAAGTCGATGAAGAGTATAACGTAGAAATGATTCTAAACTAATCCGTAACTACACTATATGTTTAATTTCCAATAATAATTTTATCTTACGTTTATCAAATTTATATGTTAGTCGCCAATGGTGATAATATTGTCCAAAGTTCTACATATATCAACAGATTTTATCTTTATCATCTATTTTTTAAAATAGATGATAAAGATAAAATTACAATTCCAACAAAATAAAATTTTACAAGTAAAATTGAAATTTCTCAAAATTTATTGCTGAATTGATAACGTTTTGTTTTGTTGCACTTAAACTCTAATACTTTATAGGAAATAATTATAAAAATGTTTGTTTTATACTAATGTAAAATATATCTAATTATACGTAGAAAATATAACGTGTATATTATATACTATTTAATGTAAGTTTTGCTTAATTTATATTTTTTAGAAATTCCAGTTATTCGGACTTCGACCTGTAATAATTTAATCTTTCTACATTGATGACCTTCTTTTCTACATATACTTTACTGCAGCATATCTTGCGATTTTAAATAGATAGCATCGATAACAGATAGAATATACGTATTATTAGAAAAAAGATTTATCATTCATAGTGAAGATCTAGCTGCTCCCGTTGACTACAACGTTGGTGGAGATCCTTGCGAATATCTAGCTCGAGTCGATTAGTTGCCTCGAGAGATGTTCTTAAGTTTGTTCGTAGAAAAGCACACTTCCACACTCAAATTATACACTATTTACAGTTTATTTACAGATCAAAATGTATATTACACGAGTTAGAGACATTATATATGCAAGATGATGACACGTAGTACACTAAACCACAGGTTGTCCTTTTCCGGGATTACTAAGTTCTGGGGAGGCCTAGTCGCCTGATGGAGTCGACCCAACTTTGTTGTCCGTTTACCTCTCTACACTACCTCCCAGAGGATTCTCTAAGAGGAGAGACAATCTCTCTAAGCTCTGCGGGCTGTCCAACTGTTAGAGACTACCACGTCCAGTTTCTTGCCCTTTCTCTGCGTCGTTCTGTTATTTAAGGGCTTGTTTGGCAAAACTTCTGACCAATCCTGATCCTTTCTTCCATTTTAAGCTTTCCAAGACGTTGGCGGTCCTCTGCCGAGTCAAGTTCACAATCGCGTCCGCTTTTGTTTACATTTTTCTATTTTTTTTTCTTTAATAGTTTAACATATGGTAAACGATCTTTAGTCCGATTACCCGTGAGTCCAATAAACAGAGCGATGCCTCCTTTGTTCTCCCTCCTGTTTACGAATAAACAACAACGCAGGTGGGGGTAATTTACAAGGCCGTGTGACTTTTGACCTTACTCTGTTAAGAGACAACCTTTACATTCATATTATAATATATATAATATGAATTTTACCTGCTTTCGCTGCTGGAAAGACGATATGAGCGATGGTGCCTGATATCGCATTCCAATATACGTTATATAATACAAAACTTTTAATACTCTAGTCACATCTTAATTTGTGTAATTCAGAGTAAAGATATGTTAATGTAAACTAAGTTCAGATTCGTTTAAAAATATATACACAAATTATTTAAAATAACAAAATAAAAATTGCTATAAATTTATTTATGTTTTTAAATTCAATGTTATAAAATTATGTTATACCTGTAGTCATTGGTAAATATGCTTAATAAATCTCTCGAAATTAATATTTTAAACAAACATTCCTTGAAATGACATCTAGAAATACAGTATGCTGATTAGGGTTTCTCAAACGGGATCCCAGGATTCCGGTGGTTTTTTTTAACCCAGAGTAGCTTCAATAACTTCGTAACACCAAGTTGTGCAAATTGAGCAAGGATACAAAGGAGTACAAAATCTGCAAGTATGAAGTTTTTGTTCATAACCTGATTATTAAAGACAAACGAACTGACGAATTATTGGGCTATGGTGTTTCTATTAAAGCAGTAGAGGTAGACAAATCAAGAACACTACAGAACAAAAGAAGTACTACAATCTCGAAAACGAACTAGATAACTTTCAGGATAAATGTGAAAAACACATAATATTTATCTTCTCTTAAATGCATTAAACACGATTTCAATCACATCAATTATATCGGAAAGGGCATTCTCGGTAGCACGACTTTTCATTACTAAAAAAAGAATTAGATTTAGTGATCGGAGTATCCACCATCTTTGCATTTTAAAATCTTATAAAAAGTTACAATATTTTGTATTATATTATATTTTAAAAACGAAAATTACCTTCTAAGCTAGAAGTTCGATCTAAGTCCAATTTTTAAAATTTTTAACTCAATTCAAAAAATTTTGTTGTTGTTGTTGTTGTATGCAGTTTCCAGCAAACTTAAATAAAATTTTTGGATTTCTGAAAGTTTATACGTAATTCAAAGATAATTTTTAATATATATCTTACACAGCATTATTATTACGACTTTGGAGGTTACAGAACGTATTAAATTACTTTAAAAAACGAAAAATAATTATATCATTTAATTTCATAATACAGTATTTTGTATATCTTAAGAATAATTAAATTTTTTCCCGGAATTTTCCGGGATCCCGGAAAACAGTTCACTTTTATCCCGGAATCTCAAGACAAGAAAATGACCAGTAAATCAGAAACCATAATGCTGATAAAGGGGCTTATAGTACAAAAACTGTCTTTAATTAATAGAATGTTACAAATAACGTTAGACCTGTTGGAACCCGTATCCACTTGTTGGAGGATGTTTTTTTATTTCTTAATTTGTGCCCCACTTGATACGGTCAGTACATATACCCATCTTCTACAGTAATAACTTTCACTTCGTCAGCTCCAGTAAACCCCAAATATTTCGACTCTTCAACGCAGAAAAGTCTATTACGGACAGATAAGAAGCTGCAAGGGTCGTGGCCAAGAAATTAACCGACGGTTAAGGACTGAAAAAACCGATCGGTCAAATTTCACAAGATTCCATTACTTTCCCTTCTTATGTAGTATATACTTTGAAAAACTGTATCGAAATCTAGCAACGAGTTCTGTAGCTTTTTTCGGCATTCGTGAAATTTTATTTTGAAAATGACATCTCTATAATTAATCAGAGTAAATAACAATGTCAAAGCTTTCTTTTATTTGCTTTACCAAATAATTTGGAATTTTTATACTTTTCATTCAATGTCTCGCCTGTTTCTTTTAATAATTACTACTTTCGCAATATCAAAGGCTGTTTTGTTAAAAAAAACAAAAAGAAAGCTATGCAACTCATTGCTAGATTTCGATACACTTATTTAAATTCCCATTGCAAATACCTTTATCACGCCCCTGAATGCGGGTGAGATAATAGAATACATAAAAGGTATCAGCTGTACTGAAATAAATGAAATTACACACGAGGAATTAGTTAAATAAATTATTTTCAATCTTACTACTAAGCGAAATGTATAGGCCTATAATTTCTTCTAATAAATAAAGAATTGCGAGTAAATATATATAAATACATTGAATACAACCAATTAAAATCTGTTTTTACTTTATAGTTAAAATTTAATTGTGACGAACAACAGTATTTTATTTCCAACTATCAATATCTTCGTATTGTTGATGCATTTTAGTTTTCTCCTATAAAGAATTTAACTTGAAATTAAACTTGTCATTTGATGAAGTGTGGTAACAACATTACAAACAGAAAAATAATTCCATTACAGATATTCAGAAGAGCATAAATTTTGAAGATCGATTTGTGTGTTAACGAAAAGATCTCTCGTAGCCAGCATATAATTCTACACCATAAAATACATGGAATCTATTTGAATAGTAAAATACGAATTTCACGAAGCTATTCGTCGAAATAACTTGGAACGAGTACGATCATTTCTGGAGAAGAAGATAAATGTGCAAGACATCGCAACGAAAAATTGCCATTAATCGAAGAAACTAATTTGGAGCACGTGAATATCAACTGTTCATTAATAGCCCATGCACACGTCAATCTTACCAATATCAGGGGTAGCACGGTGCTTCACGTGTCTGGTAGCCCGAAAGCTTTCAATAAAAAAAATAGTACTGTTTCTTCTGGAAGGAAGAATTGCCGGATGATATTTCAGAAAAGCAATGTCCGTCTTGTTGAAATATCCAAAAATGAACAAAATTATGCAGAATTTTGGGGGTTACATTCTTTTGACATGTGAGGTTGATAGCGGTTTTCTGAAAGGAGTAGAAGTGTTAACATGTATATCGTATTTGGCGCCCATTTAAGTGTGTAGAGATCAACAAAACAGTTTTTTATATTGCCAAGATACTAATTATAAAAAGAAACAGACAAGACATATACCATGCCCTGACGAATGGAAAATTTTAAAATTCCAAATTACAGTCGACCCCCCTATAATTACGGTCCCTATAACTACGATTCCTATAAAACTGCGAAAAAAATTGTGACGGTATCCGTAAAAAAAGGTAAAAAAACTCCTATAATTACGTAAAACGTCATCGGGCAGCCGAACTACTTTCCCGCCGTCCGTAGCGCCACGCTACAGAGAGATTTATATCGTCTGGACAGTATTATATAAATGATATATAAATTAGGTACTGTACATATAATTATATATTAATTATATATAAATTAGGTACTGTATATATAATTATATATTAACTTATTGTAACTTTGTTATAATTAAATATATAATTTCCGCCGTCTAGCGTGGCGCCACGCTACGGAGATTTTTACGCTAACTATCGTCTGTCAGTATGTAAATTAGGTACCGTAAGTCTAATACAGTACTGTAATTTTATACATTTCTTGTGAAAGAAACATTTCTTATTCAACGGCGATTAAAATTATTTATAT